CCATTAGGACTCTCTAAGGCTTTGTTCACAGCACAGTGGTGGAGAGATTGTAGGTTTGGTTTGCTAATTAATTTCGACCACCAGGAGGTTGTTTGATCTTCCAGCAGATTGAGTCCAGAGTTGATGAAGGTCAGATGGACATGAAGAGCAGCCAGAAACTCCTGAACACTCAGATGGATGAAGCAGAACACCTTGTCCTGGTACAGTCCTCTCTCCTCTTTAAAGATCTGTGTGAACACTCCTGAGTACACTGAGGCTGCTGTGATATCGATGCCACACTCTGTCAGGTCTGATTCATAGAAGATCAGGTTTCCTTTCTGAAGCTGATCAAATGCCAGTTTTCCCAGAGACTCAATCATCTCCCTGCTCTCTGGACTCCAGTGTGGATCTGTCTCAGCTCCTCCATCATACTTGACCTTCTTTATCTTTTCCTGAACCACCAGGAAGTGGATGTACATCTCAGTCAGGGTCTTGGGCAGCTGTCCTCCCTCTCTGGTTTCCAGCACATCCTCCAGAACTGTAGCAGTGATCCAGCAGAAGACTGGGATGTGGCACATGATGTGGAGGCTTCGTGATGTCTTGATGTGGGAGATGATCCTGCTGGCCTGCTTCTCATCTTTGAATCTCTTCCTGAAGTACTCCTCCTTCTGTGGGTCAGTGAACCCTCTGACCTCCGTCACCATGTCAAAATACAGTGCAGGGATCTGATTGGCTGCTGCAGGTCGTGTGGTTATCCAGAGGCGAGCAGAGGGAAGCAGGTTCCCCCTGATGAGGTTTGTCAGCAGCACATCCACTGAGGTGGACTTTCTAGGGTCAGTTAGGATTTTAGTTTTGTGGAAGTCCAGAGGAAGTCGACACTCATCCAAACCATCAAAGATGAACACAACCTGGAAGTCTTCAAAGCTGCAGATTCCTGCTCCTTTGGTTTCAGTAAAGAAGTGATGAACAAGTCCCACCAAGCTGAACTTTTCCTCTTTCAGCACATTCAGCTCTCTGAAAGTGAATGGAAATATGAACTGGATGTCCTGGTTGGCTTTGTCTTCAGCCCAGTCCAGGGTGTATTTCTGTGTTAAGACTGTTTTCCCAATGCCAGCCACTCCCTTTGTCAGCACTGTTCTGATTGGTTCATCTCTTCCAGGTGAGGCTTTAAAGATGTCTTCTTGTGTGATGGTTGTTTCTGGTCTGTCTGGTTTCCTGGATGCTGTTTCAATCTGTCTGACCTCATGTTCATCATTGACCTCTGCAGTCCCTCCCTCTGTGATGTAGAGCTCTGTGTAGATCTGATTCAGAAGAGTTGGGTTTCCTGCTTTAGCGATCCCCTCAAACACACACTGGAACTTCTTTTTCAAGAAAGACTTGAGGTGATGCTGGAGAACTCCAAAAGGAGTTCCTAAAGGAACAAAAGACAGCAGTATCAATGGAATTCTTATTATGTCCACATGCAAATTTATTTTCCCAGGAAATGCGTCTTTGAATACATGTTGGTCAATCTTTTGAGACGTTAGTGTGTCATTCACCCAGTAACTTAAATCGTTAGACAAATCCTCTTACTGCTCTGCAGACGGTCAGACAGCTCCCCCTGCTTCATTCTCTTTAGGAAATTCAGCGTGATATTCACAAATGCCTCTCTGTTGCTGATGCCTCTCTTCTGCTCTTCATCTTTACCCTCCAACATCTCATCATCCTCCCTCTGACTGTTTAAGCATTCTGGGTAATCTGGACTCAGAACCTTTTGAATCTTCTTTAGCTCGTTTTTCACAAAAGTGATGATGTTTTCCTCCAGCAGCTGGAACAGAATACTTTATGAATGACCCAATCAGACTGAAATCATGGAGCCAAACATCAGATCCATGTTGGACACACTGACAATCCATCGGTCTACAAAGAGCAGCATGGAGATGAATGTGAACAGAATAGATGTAAAAGTAGTTGTTTTACATGTACAGACCATGAATATGGAGTCGTGTTTTTGGTTCTGCTGGGCAGACTGACCACAGGCAACGTCTGAGCTCTCCTGTTCCACTCTGTGGAGGAATCATGAAGAATTAGTTCACATTATATGACCACCCAAGAGTTAAACACAAGCCAAAGGTCCATTAGGTCATCTTTTGGATGTTTGGATGTTGAATGAGATGACTGCCTCTTGTGGTGAATAGGTGTAAATGAGTAACTTTTGATGTACATGCTCAGCCAGAGTTCCAAGTAGAACGAGCAGGTACTAAAATGTGAGATTGTTAAGCTGTATCAAGAGATCAAGATAAACTTTCTTATTCCCAAGGGGCAATTTGATGGCACTACACAACTAAATTTGGTCTAGCCATAACAAAAGGTCCAGACTTTTGTGGGACAATTAACATATTGCTAAAAGTTAAGGACTAACCTAAAAGTGGACATTGATTAAAATTGGCCATAAGAAAGTTGGGAGTGTCTGTGTCTGTGTACTGGCTATGCTATGATCCTAGTTGTAAATTTCACATTCGCACTCGGGTGAACGTACACAACAATAACAAATACCTGTGGAAATTATCTTGGTAAACAGAAAGGATGCAGTGAGAAAGACAAAAGTGCTAGATCAGTAGAACACAGGACTAATGCATTTACAACACTTGTTCTTATTTATATTAAGGCAGAGACTCCTCCCCAGGGCTTTACCAGTCACCTTTGGGTCTCTATCAAGCTTCAGTGGTTCACCAAAGTTGCTGATTTCTAGATCAGATTCCACGTCCCACTGCCTGAGCCAAATTTCCATCAGAGCAATAAGACAGAAATTCTTATCCTCAAATAAAGAAAATTGACATTTGCTGAAGAATGTCAACTTTTTTCATAAAGTCATCCTTGCACGTTAGCAAGGATAGCTATTGGAAGAGGAATCCTCTGATGGCCTCGCCTTGCCTCTTTCGCACTCCTCCATGCCTGCCCCATCTTCCTCACCAACATTGATTTATTTCTCCAACATGTGTTCAACAGGGAGGGATTGTGCAGAGGAACTTTGACAAGTAACGCTACCGTGAAGTCAATGTCTCAGATGCCGACGGCCCAAAGAAACAAGAGGGACTCTTGACTATATCGGAGAGTTTGAGGATATCCATAGATCTGTCTCAAGAAGTGACAAGTTAGAGTCACAGTTACAGAGAACGCCCATACACAGTACGGCTGCTATTTGTCACCATTAACCAGTGCCGCCACCACCACTACATGCACGCCACCAATTTGCAGGTCAATAACCTCACTTGATGAGTCATGAGAGCATCTCACTCACAAAAATCAAAACCGCCATTTTTGAAATGATCACCTGGGCAAACATCATGCAGGCAGACTTCCACTGGATCCGATTCCTAGTGCAGGCAGTATATGACACTCTGCCAAGCCCACCAAACCTCCATCTGTGGGGGAAGAGCGAAACACCTGCCAGTCCTCGGTGCTCTGGAGGCAGGACCCTAGAACACCTTAGCAGCTGCCCAAAGGCCCTGGCTGATGGTCGGTATCGTTGGCGACACGACCAGGTGCTCAGAGTAGTTGCTGAAAAGACTGTCTCAGCAATCAGCACCATCATGCTCCGAGGAAGGCAATCTCTTTCATTAAGGCTGGAGAGAAACACCAGGTGCGCCCACATTTAACAACAGGCCTCCTCAACACAGCCTCTGATTGAATATCACATCAGGAGATGTGACCTGACAATAAGGAAAATGACTACAAAAACCATGCCGTGGTTCAGTTCAAATCCAATGTGGCGTTGCACAGTTTGCAGATGCCTTAAAAACTTTTAAAAATCGAACCTAAAAACTTTTTGTAAGTAATTTTATTAAATGACAAAACACACCAATGTCATTCTCAGCGCTCTATCTTAACCAAATCTCACAATTTCTCCATTAATATTGAAAATTCCCCGATCGTTCCCTCCCCTCAGGTAAAGAGTTCGGGTGTCATATTTGATAATACTCTCTCATTCCAGTCTCACATTAATTACATAACTCGGTCTGCATACTTTCACCTACGTAACATTAACCAACTTTGTCCCTTCCTTACTCCCCATACTGCTGCCATCCTTGTTCATAACCTTAATTATTCCCGGATTGATTATTGCAACTCCCTCTTATTTGGTCTCCCCAAAAAGTCCCTCCATAAACATCAACTTTTTCAGAATTCTGCAACTCGGGTCATAACTCATACTCCGTTAAGAGTAGGAGTTACCCCAGTTCTTCAACAGCTTCACTGGTGGGGAACAGAGCTTTCAGTCACTCTGCTCCTCGACTCTGGAGATCACTTTCTCCAGTCACAAGAAATATAGATTCTCTTCTCTTATTTAAGTCACAGCTCAAAATGTACTTTTTCGCCTTAACTACAGATTTCATTTGTCGTCAAGTTTGTTTTGCTATTTTAACATATTTTATCTATTTTAAATCTATTGTTTTATTGACTTTTTCTCTCTTTCTTTAAGGTGACCTTGGGTTTTAGAAAGGTGCCCTCAAATAAAAAATAATAATAATAAATTTTATTTGAGGGCGCCTTTCAAAAACCCAAGGTCACCTTACAAAATAACAAAATTAATAAAAGAAGCAATAGTCATAAAATACATAATTCTATCTAAATACATAAAATTGCAAAGCATAACTTGACAACAGATAAAATCAGCACTAAAGCGACCAGTTTGAATAATAAATAAAATATATTATTATTTATTATTATTATTATTATACAGTCTCAGATACCACTTGCTAAGCGAGCTCTGTTCCACCTTGCCAAAGGCAAGCTGGATAGCTTTTAAAAGAGACGTCTGGACAAAGCTTTCAACAGCCATGGCTAAATGGGTGGCTACAGGCTGATTAACATTGTAGAGCAGTGGTTCCCAAACTTTTTTCGCTGGGCCCCCCTTTGTTTTACAGAAAAATGTTCGCGCCCCCCGCGCACGCGCGCACACACACACGCGCTAACACATCCTCCAACCACACACACACATATTTTGCTCCATTGCGGTTTATTTCACACCTCAAACATTTAGTAAACAATTAAGCAAATACAAGTAATCTGCAGGTAGTAAGAAAATAAACTACTAATTCTTTTACGCTACGTCCACACCTACACGGGTATTTTTGAAAACGCAGCCGTTTCGTCCACACGTAAACAGCGTTTCGAATCACCGAAAACGGTGGCTTAGAATGAAGTTGGTTTGGAAACATATTCAGCTATGCTTCATCTCCTGCTTTGCGTTTCTGTAGGCGCCCCGTGCTAGCAGTGTCCAAGTGTTGTTGTTTTTTTTTCCCCCCTTTTCATGCCGCGCCCCCCCTGCAATGGCTCTGCGCCCCCCCTAGGGGACAGGCCCCACACTTTGGGAAGGTCTGTTGTAGAGGATGATGGGCTACTTAAAATAATTTGCATAGCATCTACGATTGCACGTATGAATTGCCTTCAAGAGCCACCACTGTAACCAAGATACACAACTTGTATGAAGATGAGAAACCCAAAGTGGAGGAGGCTTTGGGCCAGACCAGCATGGTTGCACACACTGGAGACTAATGGACTTCTGTAGGTAATCAGTTACCTTGGGGTAACTGCACATTATTTTTCACCACAGTGGGAACGTCAGTCATTTTGTTTTAACTGTTATGAAGACAGAGGAAAGGCACTTAACTAACATGTGAGCGGAGAACTTTATGTAGATAGCTAAATAGTGGGGAACTGAACGTAAAGTCAGCATGCTGACCACTGACAGCACACGCAACATAGTTGCAGTGGCCAGGGAGCTGCTGTTTGAGCACATGCCTTGTGTCACACATAGCCTCCTCTGAACTATAGCAGTTTTATACAGAAAAGTCCATTTGACATAATACTGGCAAAATGCAGCCATTTCAAATGCAGCAAAGCTCAGCAGCAAATCGCAGAGTCACATTGACAAGGAAAACGTCACACAAACACACAGGACGTTTCAACAAGATGGTAGAGTACCTGGAGATGATCAGCCATGTTTTGAGAAATCAGGAACCACAGAAATGCACTGGCACATGCAACTAATGTTACAATGCCAACAACAGCTGAGCTGGAGAAGGCTTTTCAGGAAGTTTTTAGGGCATCCTGATAATAATGACTTACAGCAGTTCAATCTAGAAGTTGTAACCTTACATATTTGTTTAATATGTGTTTTGAACGAATTATCCTTGTTGAAAATGACTCCGAGAAAATGTTCCCTCTAAGCTGCGCCCGTGCCCAATTGCGCACTGCTGGCACGGTCTCTGCGCACAGAAAATCTGCGTTGCGCACAAAAAAAATTCTAACCTGAATTGAAATTAAAATTAAAACTTTAACAATTCTGTTTTGCAGTGTTAGTAGGTAAGTGACTGGCTGCTCCCGTATGATATTAGAACAATGGCACCTTATCCCATAGTCCAGCCAATAATGCGATTCACATTCGTATATACGCAGCTAATCAATGTCGTCTACAGACTCTGACAGCGTCCTTATGTGCCGACACCGATGTTTTAGCTAGCAAAGCGGCAAGGCAGATGTGGAGTGAAGCCACGTTAATGACAACGTGTACAACCATTGCAGATGTGAGCAGGACAGACGGAACAATTGACGGAAAAAGTGTGGACTTTATACCAGTTTTTAAATTGTGTTGATCGGCCACTTAAAACCAGAGTTATGATAAAAATATCTGCAATGTTTGGTTTTCTTCCTGAATACTGTCGTTGTTTATATTTACTGCGGGAAGAAATGGTAAAAACTGCGTTTTATAAGGAAAGCGCTGGAAAGCCTGTGAGCAAAAACAACACCAAAAAACCCCGCCCTTTCCTATTGGTGGAAAAATGTATCATGTCGACCAATCACAAAATTATATGGCAAACTGGTATTTAGTTGCTTAGGAAGGGGGAAGTTTTAGGAGTGACGGCGTGTTTTGAGATGTGAGAAATTTGCGACGTTTAGTGCAAATCTTGTGTAGTTAGTGTGTAGTTAGTGTGTAGTGTAGTCAATAGTTTTGTTGTGTCAGAACAATGAGGCGACTGCTGAAAGTTACAGGTGTTACAGCAGT